CCCTGTAGATGGGTTCGAAGGGTCTTTCCCCCACTCACATGTTCGTAGCTCAGACCGAGAGAATCTGCTTCTCAAACTCAGGATTGAGAAGGGTCTGGTCTGAGCTCTAGGCGCCTCCCGCAGTGTACTGCACTCACTAGCTTGTACAAGCTAGCAAGCGCAGGTCGCACATCCCATGCCTAGACATGTGATATGACTACCTCTGCGCTTTATCCTCACGCTTGGAGGATAAGGACATGGAGTGATTGGCTTGGAATAATTTCGTCTTCTTCTTTGCTTTCATCTTCTATGAGTGATTTTGAGGACAGATGATTTTTATCTTCGGTGGGTACTGAATCCTCAACTCGGTTATTTTCTTCCACCACCTCCACCTCCTCCTTTTTGTTTTCCTTCTCTCCCTCTTCCTCTTCCTCTTCCTCATCATTGTCATCTTCAGCATCCGCATCTTGTTCCGAATCATGCTCGTGGTTCGAAACAGGGTCCTTCGGTTTGGAAGCCAGGTTCAACCGGGTCCTTTTCGATCAGACCTGTGTTCCTGAATAGGAAGGCGGGTCATCTCGATTTCGGTCGGACCGTCTCCGGTTTGGCGGGGGTGGGGAATCATCAGTAATCCAGATAACCTTGACGTTCGGGCGCGTAGGAGGTTGTTTTCCTCGTTCTACGTCTACGGAGAGCAAAAACAAGGGTCAGTCAACATCTAAAAAGAAATATAGTTGACTGGTACCTTTGGAAGCATTGTCACATGCTTTTCCAGCCTGTTCGATCAGGTCATAAACTTGAGGAGGTAGGCCGGCGACGTTCAGCTGCTCCTTGAGAATGGCCGATGTCCCATTGACATTTCGGTAATACTCCTCCTTGGAGATCTCTTGGACCTCATTATCGGAGAGACCAACCTTGCGAACAGCATCGAATGGACCAGGCACTGAGGGCGCTTGCGAGAAGGTTTGGAACAAAGGAGCGACAAAGGGGGCCTGTGAACGCAGAGCTTCCTTTGTTTTGGCTTGGGAACGGTCCGTTTTGGAGTCTTCAGTCGATGAAGCCATCAATTTTTCGTCACCGAAGTCTAGGCGCGGAGGAGATGGTCGATTTTCGTAAGGCATACCTGTTTTGAAACAATTGAACATGGTAAGGGAGCGGTTTTGGGTCAATAAGCATAAAAGAAAAACTAACTGAAGTTCGAGTTTTTATTTCGATTTCAGAGTTACTTCAGTCTGATCAGAAGGTAAGTGATGGAAAACTTGTGGTTGGAGCTCGATTTGAGTGATTGAGGGTGGTAGTTGCGGTTAGTGTGAAGGAATAGATTGAGTAGTTGCGGTTAGTGAGAAGGAATAGATCGATCGATTTCTCAGGAATCAATCGATCTTGGTTGATTGCTTAAGTGGGGATTAAATTTGATCTTTTAATCCCCACTAAGTGTTT